TTACTAAAGGGGTCTGTTCCATTGTTTGATAATAATACTCAAGGAAGACTCTAGACTCATAAACAAGCTCCCCTCTGTTCATTTTCAATAAAACACTTAGAAAACGTGTGTCTCGGATTCATACCTTCGTCCTTTGCCTTCTCATTGCTTCGAGTTTGAAACTGAAATTCAACAGGAACGTATCATGACATAATCTCGAAGCTGAACACCGCTTTTGGGTAAAATTTATAGGAAATAAAGAAATTGCAACCATAATATCCAAACTAAATAATGGGGTGTATATCGATAGTTTGTCAATCCTAGTTGGAACGCAAGTGCACTCTAGGTTGAAGATCAATTTTCCTGGCATCATGAACATGGAGATGCTTTTCAAAATTAAAACAATGTATTTGGAAGATTGCCCTTGACACGTTGTGAGAATAGAGTTAATTCGCGGACACGTGGTATACATCTTCAACAACTCATTCGCCAAGTAACGGTATTCAATATATCGACCTGTACACAATATGAGTTATGAGAATCTTAGAGAAATTGATCCACACATTAGCTCAAAACTTAACATTGGCTTAATTCTGTCCATTTGAAATGTTGTTTTTTTTTTTTTTTGACTTGAACAAATCCAATTTATGGAGTCTTTGGTATTTTTTTTTATTTGTCTGTACTTCAGTTTTTGCCGTGACCACTACAGAAACGGAGGATACTCGCAGCATATTACCAACCGCAAAGCGTGGTCATTTTAACTGCTGTGCGCAACGTTGTTGCGGATGCTGCAATGTTTTTGTCTACTTCTGCTTTTTCCTCGGTTAGTATGCAGTTGTGGCCATGACACTTCTATAGCATCAATTTGACGTTAACCTACGCTTTCTTCGTACGAAGCTTCCTTCCATGCATTCTCCTTATACGACGTCGCCAACGAATGAGAAAATGTGAAGTGAAATACTCATGATGCCAATGAACACCGCAACTATGTGTGTACCGCACACTTATATGGTATCGAACTATGAATGCTGCAGCTATAGAAGCATTGTTTATTTGTCTTTTGCGAATCGCCGTTGCGTTGCTGCTGACTGGGTGCTTAAACAAGCCAATGCAGTTGTTGTCGGGAAACCATCTAAAGGAAATTAGAGGTTTTCCGTTGGTGTTGAGATATCTAACATGCCTTTTGTGTCGTTCAAAGTTATGGTTCTGTGGCAATATTTCACCAATGCAAGAGGCATAGGTGGCAACAATCACATTGATTTGTATTAAAAGTCGATAAGAAAGACTTCATTTAGCTTTGGGAAAGTTTTATACCAAAGTGACCCAGTTTGGTTTGCAACCAATGATTTCCCTTCAGTAATGCGTACAGCATTACAACTGTTTTATGAAATACCTCAAGTAGTACATACGCACGTACATCCAAATGTAGTTATTGATAGAATATTATAAAAACAGAAATGTTGCTTCGTCTATGATTGTTGTGCTCCAGAACCTGCAATGTTGTACTTTATTGCGCACATTTTACTTAATTATATAACCGAGAAATGGAAATAACTTTAATATCCCTTTAATTTGTTAAGCACATTTGTCGCTTTTAACACTACTAGTAAAACAATTGCATACTCTCTCCATTTCTGGTAGGGCAAATTTTTTGACGACTTTTTACCTGCTCTGCTGTATACAAGTTACAAGGCAAAATAGTTTATGTTTATCTTAAAGGCAATGAGTAACGGCTGCTGAGAGTATGCACGTCCGACTTCAAAGCCTAACCCACAGAAAAATCCAGGAAATAGTAACGTAAGCAAACTACCTTTTGCATTACCAGTAGAATGAAAATAATGGATTATTCATTAAAAATATCTGAGCAAAAGATCATATTTTCTGTTTTACACAGTTTTGAGTAACGTCTTAAATGGTAATGCGGCTTTTTGTTGGGTTGCGGGGTGGCTCCATTACTTAAACGAAGTCTTTGACCAAGAAAATAGGGGCATTTAGAAGCAATCATGCAATCACTACCGCTTTATTTACGCACAGTGCAATTTTGCCCGCGAACCAAAAAATAATAAAAACATTACATGATGTTGACAAGAAACAGGGTATAGAACTCATTGACATTGTTTCATATTTCAAGAAATTATGTTTCAAGAACGTTGAAAAGGGATTGGTTTCTCTTTTAGTGTGAATTTTCAACTAAAAACGGTCAAATTCATTGTAGCTGATAAACTATCAGGTTTGCAAAGTATTTAAGTAAAATAATGAGAAAATGTGAATTTAGGATTTTTTCCGAGCATTTTAATATTTTTCAATTTTTTTTTAAACATTGATTGATTGATTTGAATATAGGCTACGCAATTAGGAACCCCAATGTTATTAATAAAAAATTAACTTTTTGCATTTAATTTAAAAATATTTGCTTTTAATGCGAGCCCTTCACATTTTCTACAATCGAAATATTGGAGCTGTAATCTAATGGTGGGTGCATTATTATTTTTGGGGAAAACCGACTTATCCCCTCCAATTTAAAATCGTAGTTTTTTTTAGTAAAAATGTGGTCCTTGTCCATTCTAGGTCCATACCATAATAATTGTGTTGTCGCATTTTTCGTCTAGTCCTATTGCCCAAATTTAACAGGACCGCATCTCCATTCAAATCCAACAAAGTAAAAAAAAAAAAAAAAAAACAATTTGAAAATTCATTGCCAACGCGTATTTGGGAAACATATATTAAACTCTTGTGGTGAATGTACGAATTTGTTCACATGCGCCTATTTTGAAAGCAGCCTGAAGTGTGTTTAATAAAAGTTTAGTATTCAATTTCAGTCTAGTTACATTACTACTAATAAATAAACTAAGATTCTGTGATTTTTAACGCCAGAGCAATGCACAGAGGTGCGAAATCACAAAAAACGGATATTTATTAAAAAATGAAATTTGTCTTTTGGAATAAATGTTTTTAAAATATTACAGAGCACAAAGTTCTACTTCAGTACTGAAAATTTCAAAGCCATACCTAGTTTTCTAATTACACAGTGCTAAAGTTGAGAAATGTTTCACTTTTTCGCAAGAAGGAAAAAAATTGTTGTTGGTTTTTTGAAGTGTAATAGTTTCTCATCAAAAGTGATAATTTTTTTTGTTTATTTGCTCTTTAACATATATGAATGGAAACAACGAAATGCTTCCTTTGAATTTATCTCTGATTTTGGGGATCAAGTAATGAGTTTGTAAAAAAATCTGTCTGAAACCCTCAAAATACCTAAAATTAGGAAGTACCATTATATAGGGCCTATATATAATAGTGGACCTGCCTTCACATAATTTGGCAAGGAGAGATTTTCAAAATACCTCAAATTTGAAAGTGTCGTTATAAATAATGATGTATTTATCTTCGCAAAATTTAGCAGGGAGAGATTTGTCAGTTCAGAAATCAAAATATTAAAATGATTGAGTTTGAAATTGTGGCCGAAACCTTCAAAATACCGAAAATTAGGAGATACAGTAATATGGTGCCTATACCAAATACTGGAGCAATCTTGAAAAGTTTTTGCATGAAGATATTTTACCTACTCAGAACTCAAAATGTCAAGTTACACATGACTTGATTTAAAATTGTGGGCAAAACATTCAAAATACCGAAAATCAGGTAGTAACGCGGACCGATATGTCTCATTGTTAATACCAAACATACTAGGGTAGTGTAAATGTCTGAGCAACATTTCAGAGCGATCGAATGCTTTATTGAATTAATCTACGTTTTTGGGGATCTCACCCCACTGTGCAATGGTCGTATGATATTAAAATTGGAGGGTGTTGTTTACACGTTTCATTCTTGAATGAAATGTTATGCCTATTGTTTTGAAAAACTCGTTTATAGCTTGTCTTGAGATATTTGTGTTGTTCTAAACTTTTTAATTGATAAAAGTATGCCTTCCTTCGTGGGTTTTATGTCTAGAATACGGGTATTCTCTAAAAACCATAACTGCCGACATCAACTTTGTAGGGTTGAAGTCAGGGTTTTGATTCAGGATACATTGCCTAAGTGGCCAATAGTTCATTTTCGGTGTATAAATGGCTCTTTCAAATTAGAAAGACACTTAGTTCGACCCATGATCATAGAAGAACACAATGAAACAATGATTGCCCGAATAGGATCGTTTATGACCGCATCGCATAGTTTAGAAATTCTAAACAGTGTATTTTTTATAAAATTTCATCAAATTTCAACTGTTTATTGGAACAAATTGTTTTAAAATTCTTCGATGTGTCTAAGCACTATTTAACAAATCATTTTGGTTTTGGTGTGTAATGCGCTGATCAATACACCAAAGAAAATATTGTTAATTTAATTTTTAGAGTTATGTTCTATATTTCAACTGATTTGGCTTTTATAATATTGGATTGTGTTGCATTTTTTTATTAGAAGAGTAACTAACAATTCAGATTTCCATAACCTAACCACGATATTGTAAAGATCTTATCGATGTCGCCCGTAATTCTTTGCCGTGGATATAATTAAAATAAGAAACGAGATTAATAATTAACGACGTCATGAGTGATGAAATATTGAGTAATTGAATTAATAAGCAAGAATCAACCACGGTTCAAGTAAATGAAGGTGCTCTCCTAAAAAACAATTAGCTAAGACAATTTTGGCTGATGTGTTGATTCTAAGGAATCATCATATAATTTTTACATTTGTACTGGTTTTGTTTCCAGTACTTAATGACTAATTTAATGGCAAATCAGTGTGAATTATACATACGGAGATAGAATCTGATAAATAAATTTCTGTAGGTGTTTACTTTTGGTTCATAAATATTTATAAAAAACCCTAAATAAAAGTGGTCCTTCTGCAAATGATACAATTGTATAAAATGTTGACAAACATTGTTGGGTTCGTTTTTTTTCAGGCGTATTAAAACCATTTGACATCAAGGGACAACAAACATATGAATCAGCCTCCTTTGATTCCTTACAAAACTAAACATATAGTAGATATTTATTTTGCATTTCAATCTGACTTACATTTGTTGATAACTGACTGCTAAGGCTCAGAACTTGTTCTCTAGCTTCCATAAGTTCTCGTTTCAGTCGACGTATTTCGTGAGCTTGTCTCTCTTCTGAAGTTCCATACAGTGAGCTTCCTCCAGACAGTAGTGAGGCTGCACTACCATGAACTGAAATAAATTATAGGAGGTTACAGGGGCCCGAAAATTTTCAATTTTTATTTTGAACGCTACCTTCATCGTTTTTCTTTGGATAAGTTAGGCGATGACTCGTCGATTGACTCGATGTTCCACTCATATTTGTCATTCCAGCAGCATTGCAATGAGTGGGTGACATTGGTCCAGCAAATCCACGGTTAATGGGTGTAGGCGATGTTGGTTGACTCCAAGCAACTGTATTGCCCGAAGCTGTTGATGATTGAGCGTTAGCGGCTGCTGCAGCCATTTGAGCTGAAATTACTCCGTTATGAGTGGTCCCCACTGGTAGGCAATAATAAGGTTCTATTTCAACTTCCGATCCTCTGGACATCATAGGTGGATACATTTGTTCGGATTTAGTGGATCTGAATGAAATAGGAATTTTGGGAAAAATGTTTAGATAAAAGTGTGAATATAAAAAGAGCAGCGTTGCAAATCAATTTAATTAGACCGTTTACACGAGCATTTCAAACAACTCAAATTGTATTTTAAGCCTTTTGTTCTGAAAAATGTTATTGGTAGGACTTTTTATAATATGGGTAAAAATGTGCTTCATTGGGGTAATGGGTTTGGACTCGTTTCAGGAATTTGATGTACGTATGCTAATATTTACTGGTGGGCAAAATGAAATAAGTATATTATTATACCCTCTAGCGATGTCTGCGTGTCCTAATATTTGTACTAGTGCTAGGCCAAGTGCGAAAATGGACAATATCCGCCCACCCCTAGTACCTCCCCGCACAAAGGGTTACAATTTGGAATAATCATTACCCTTATAATTTACGTTATTACGGGCTTCTCCTCCTCTTTACTCTCATAAAATTCGAACATTTTCCCCAGTTCTCTATAAAGTTCTCACATAGAAATATTTGAAAATTTTATATTTTTTAAACAGTGCGTGTTATAATCAATTCTCCGATTAAATCGATAATCAAAAAAAGAAAAGAATGACTTCAGCCTGCGAAAGACCTAATTCTATTGAACGACTCATTCGAAAGAGCGGATGTGGTATTATTGTTATGATAAGACAAATGAAATCGAAAAAGAAAAAAAGCTGCATATGAAAGGTGACACGATAAGTCCAGCTGTTGTCTTCTTTTGTTGTGATTTTTGAGAAGACTAGCATAGAGAAGACTAGCATAAATTCGCCTTTTGGTGGACCTGATTAAACATATCTTGGGTGATTAAACATATCTTTGGCTTTAATCATTTTTTTCCTTTATTGTGAATGTATGCATTTACAAAGCACCGGTGAATGGTGCTGATCCGAACTATATCCACGAACTAGTTCAGTAAAAAAGAGCTTTGTGAAATGCACTAGACTTTACAACCCTAGCACGAATAATTTGCTTGTCAAAAATGGTCAAACAGATTTGTGTTGCAGAACACGCTGTTAGTAAGGTGCAAGTTTTGTTGTACTAACTTAAAAAAAAAAACAAACAAAACAATAGAGCGAACTGATAAGCTGCAAGCAAAAAAGCTAAGCTCTTATACCGAGAAGCAGTACTGTTGCATGCTTATCACCTGGGATACGTCCTTTCTTTCAAGTAGCTTTTTGAATAGTACAAGGATAAAACAAGAGCAAGATTTTGACAGGTGGATTTATGAGAAAATACTGTAGAGTGCAAAGGTGTGGAGACTCGTGATTCAATATGACCTACCTGATACTATTACTGCGATTCAGGCGTGGACTCTGCACGTACGGGGATTCAGTGCCAGCCATTGCTCCCGTATTGCAGTTAGCATTTCCAGCTGCAACGGCTCTTTGTTGCATCAGCTTTTGATTATGTCTGGACATTGAGGGCGAGTTTATGTGCATATTTTCCAGAGAATCGCCATCAGACAGACGACTACCCGCCGTATTGCTATGTTTCAACCACATTGCATAGCTTCCGTACTCCGGTTTGACCTCAGCATACGTTTGCGTATCCGATAAAGAACCATCCAGCATTTTCGCAGATCGATTCGATAATCTGTTGAAAAACAAAATTAAATTAGTAAACGATGTTCTTAAGGCCATAAGATTAGATCCACAAAGTACATACCTGTGTTGAAACATATGCATATCCGAACCAGGTTTGGGCAGGCTATGCGATCCAGCAAGACGCTCACGTATGCATTGACTGAGTTGGGTGGCCCCTGGACCAGTTAAAGAATAGCTGCGATGTTGAGTTGTGGGCGGCATTTCTGAAAACGAAGTACACATTGCTAGGGAGAAGTGTTTATCTAATCTAACACCACAACAAAGACTTACTTGACACGTCGTGGGGCAGGGTTTGCGCACCTCCCGACATTTTGCGTCCACCAGGTGCCCCAGTTCTTGGCACTGCCGAAACATGGGCTGTATTGCGTCCGTTTTGTGGACTACAACCGCTCATGGTATTCATCATCATGACAATATTCTGTTGTTCTGCGGTTGACGTGGCAGTTCCATTCGAACGCTTGACGTATCCGAAACTGGGGGGTACGCCCTTAGTACGACTTGAGGAGGACGGACTTTGCTTAGAAGATGAACTTCCTACATTCCGTCTAGAAGGCGATGATTTTTCTTTGTGTTCGGATTTTTGTCCATTCAAAGCTTCTGGCATTTTTGACCAATTATTACCGTTTCGAGGTGATGAGCGATGAGAGGGGCTGCCACTATTGTGATGTTGGGGACTGTTGTTGGCACTGTTACTGGCAGAACTATTGAGACCATTTGTAATATCCATTTTATTATTTGATCCAACACTGGAACTTGCTTGTGAAGCCGACGATGAAGGGGCACCTGTGCCTAAACTGTCTAAGCTCCCACGGCTGTTGCGTATTCTGAAAATTGGATATCGTATTAGTTCTCATTGAATTGAAATTGATGGTGATACGCAAGCGCCCAATGTTAATGCCGATAAGCTATAATAATGAGAGGGGGAATTCTCACTAACTCTCCAGGCTGTCCATTTAACAAGGTTACATTATTGAAATAATTTTCCCAGCAATAATTAACAATCCCTCTGTAAATTACCTGTAAACATTGATCTCGTGTTTGAGTGAAGTGAGATTTTTACTAGATAGGTATCGCACAAACCTAACTTAAATTAAGAAGCAAATTATGAGTTTCCGAATACACAAAAGCGAACTTAAAACTATGAATGCCAATACGGATGAAGATCTTAATTATTTTTACACACCACAGAAAATGAGTTACGTAGGTGAATTAAATGCCTTTAATAATAGATGTATTTTATCCCATATTCGTTCGTTGCTTTTTGCTATATGCTGGCCCGCTTATGGTACTTAGTGCTGTCTATTATTTTAAGCGTTCGTACATATTGATTTTTAGCGACGCCTGCAAATGATTGCTTGCAATTTTTTTGTGTCAGTGACACCGACAGTTAACAAGTTATGAACATTGTTTTTTATTTTCTTTTTCTAAAATGTATCTGAAGATATCGAATACGGCCTCGTTGACCATTCGTTTGTTTACCCTACAGAAAAAATCTCGGTAAAGTATGCATAGGTGGTGTAATAAATATTTGCACATTTTGCAAAAAAAGGAAAAATGGTATTAAAAAAGGGTTTGATTAGAAAAAATACATTGTGGTCATTAGAATTCTGTGTCTTAAAATAAAAAAAAATACAATCAACGCACGAGAGATAATTTAGAAAATGAATACGGGCTCAGTTTTAATTTTAAGTAAAGTTTCTATTAATTTCTATAAGTTATCATGAAGAATCATAACGTAATGTTTGTATTTACTTCTATATTTTATCATGCTTAAGATTTATCACTTCATCCTTTCCATTATGCCATTTTCTGTACAGGCAGGCAGGCAGGCGGCAAGTACCGCAACATTATTTCTGCAGTCGATGTACACAAGGGCTTTGCCATTGTTGATTTGACACATACATTTTAAATTACATGTTACTCTGTTTGGGCAACGAGGGTGCATGCGAAACTATGTTACTCGACTAAATTGAACATGTACCACTAACACACCTGCCGTCACTAACTTGGTCTATTCGTATGTGACCTGTGTTTCAAACTGAAAATCTCTAAATATTCATTAGTTGTTAAATCGGATATCATGTATCAAAGATTTGTTGCTTGAAAATTATGAATTAATTTTTATTTTAGTGCATCAATGCTTTTATTAGAGTACCTGTCAATGAATGAGATAAAAATTTGGAATTATAGATTAACCGAAACCGTTCTTTTCAAAATTATTTGAGTATTTTAACAGATCACACGAACTTAAATGTCATCTGGTTAACTGCAGTTTCAAATTGCGAATTAGATGCATTTAAGATAAAGTGTGGGCTCGGAGGCCATTTACGCGTATACACTGTTTCTTGTTCCTTATTTGAAAATGGTACTAGTGCTTGAAGATATTTTTATACATTACGAATGACAATTTAATTGATTCAATCAATGCCATATCTTGGGTCTCAATATTACAATTCATTAAATAACTACACCATCGCAATGACATTGAAACAGCATCATCGATGTGCAAACGTTTCAACTTATCATCCCTGATTGAATTCCTCATTCTTATTGATTTATATTTCTATGGGATATGTTCATGGCAGTCTTGTACAGCGAGTACTGCTCTAACGGACGGAGGGAACAATGCAACGAAAGGAAAACAATGCACGCACACATACACACAACAACAACAACAAGTTTTATTCGTTTACAATATCTCAATCGAAGACAGAAAAATAACCGGCTGTTACTACACTGATGACGTCATATGGTTGGAAATTTCATTTTGAGAAAAGGAAGTGTGTTACATTTAGGATAATAAAGGACGAATGTTCTCTTTACATAAACAGACAACTTGCCCACCACAAGCTAATAGAGGGTTGCTTGCCATTAAAATACGTACTGGGAAAGAGTTTTATTCGATCAAGGATGATGGGTTCCGGCCATGCCAATGAGTAACAACTAGGGCTTAGCAAAAACCTATCCACTAAATGAAACCAGTGTATTAAGTTTCCAGACAAAAATATTATCGAGCTGAATAATGGCAAAAACATTCGTTCAGTTTTTTGACGATGCTTTAGCACTACTATTAATGACAGCAGCAGAAATAAATTAGTTATTCCTATGACATTTACAAGGCAGAATATTTAGCTTAAATTAATACAAATTAAACTCAGGAAAGATAACGAATTCGTTTTGAACTTTTTTTTACTTCAAGCGGTAGTTTGGTAAGGACCAATCAAAATGAAAAAATGATCCCAGCCAAAAATGCTGGGTGTAAATGATTTGACATATCATGGGATTTTTTTTAGCATTTTTCGGTTCCGAGGAACGCAATTTTCAACATGCCTTTTAGCATGATAGCTTTACGAATCATGGAAGAATTTACATTATTACAAACGCAGCTATCTTCAAGAGACCGATTTAAATAGACACGGACTTTTTTTCGATTTGAATGTAAAGAAAGAAAATGTCCAAGTGTAGCTGGAAAATCCAATTTCCTTTGAAATTCCAATTAATAGTTTTCCACTCTATGTGCTTATGGACGAAATCCATGTCAGGATATTTAAAGTGATATCAGATTTAGTGATATCAGATTAAGTGTACTCCTGCTGGACCAAAGTCTTTTAAAATACAAAATATGTACCTAATTATGTGAAACACCTATTTTTATATAAAGGGTTATATTATCTGTCGGCAACCGGACTGATACTTTTAAACTTATTAATAATACAGATCGATACCATCTAACGGACGACCGAATTTGTATTCTTTATATTACTTAGTTTGCGAATAGGAAGGGGATAATTCAAAAAGCAGACAAGACTATTATTTCTGTTATGCACAATATTTCTTATGTTCAGTTTATGGGAGAACATTGAATATTTAAAGAAAATAATCACGTCTGATTACCTTATTGCAAGTGTCCACTGTCTGTAATGTTCCCAGAAACACTTGCAAATGTCGTTGATATTCCTTCTTCCTTGCGGCACACCGGGAAAGGGAATTCACGAAAAATTACTAAATTGCAATTGTAATACATCGCAAATAAAGACAACGTCATGTCAAGAAGGATTGTTCATTGTCCCTCGACGTGGCGACTCAAAGTAAACGGTTGCATGTCATTCGTTTAATAATATATGGGTCATGTATTAGAACGCAACTGTTGATTGGACACACTCCTCCCAAGACGGTTGACACGAGGCAACCTCAACTATGCCAATAAATTACGTTAAGCATGTCTAGGCAATACGCCTGTGTGGGCCATTTGACATTATAAAATGGTTATGGATTTATTGTTTTAATGATTCTTGGCGTATAGATATCCGGCAACCAAATATGAGGATATAAGGACTACTGGAGTAGAGAATTTTGTGGTACTGGACGTGTACTTAAATATACATACATAAGTATGTGTTTATGCTATGCCGATGATCTGACAGTTGTATCCTAGACTTATCTTAGAGTAAATTCAATAGAAGGTTGTCTCCGATAACTTAAAATAACCGATAAATTAATTATTAGCAATATATTGTACAATATTTACCTGGAAGATGTAAATGTAAACTAAATTAGGGCCAGTTTCTCTTCTCTTCGTGCCATTTGCAAAAGGGTCACATCGAACGAGTAGCCCCACCCTCAACAATCACAATTCTTAAAACTTGACCTTTACCTTAGGCGATGAAGATAGAGGTGTTGAACGCAACAACAATAGCCTTCATGCCAATCAGAAATTGCAGCAAAGCTGTTAGTGGTTTTTTCTTGTTTCGGGGGCAAATGCAATTAAACACGGATTATCACAGTTACAACTTTACGTTTTGAGCGCCGCAAAGTAGGCACGTACTACTGTTTCACAGGGCATTTTAAAAGTATGCTGCATTAAATATTTACTTGCTTTCACACAGACACGCTTATGGGCGAAAGGCTTTTCTTCTAGAGGTTAAAGCACTTATTTTCGCGACGCACACACTCACACACAAAGGACACAAGGTTCGCGTCGTAAAGGAAAAAAGAAGGACACTTTCAGTATTTCTTAGTGACTTTTAGATTTCAATAAACTTGGGTTTTGTTAATTTGCGACCTAAGGAGCAAATAAACATTCAGGTATGTATTTGTTTTTTGCCTACATTTTTGTCTTCTTAGCGATTATTTTATTTTTTCTTTGTGGTTTACGTATTTTTGTTTGCTTGATTTGTGTGGAGACTTGCGACCGCACCAACCGAAAGTCAAAATACGTTTTCAGGGTGGTTTCCTTCGGCAAGAAATGTTTTGTCTGTTGGGTTTTCGAAACAACGTTCGGCTTTTCGATTGGCATTTAAGAGCACGAGAAACACAGCTTTCATCTCAGAGCATGAGCGAGGGAAGTTAAGAGCAGCAGAGAGAATAGTGCATGTGTGGTGAAAAGCTCTTGTGTGGTGTTTGTCAAAAATTTGAAATAACAGTTAATTTCGAAAATATATTCAAATTAACACCAAATGCAAAATATGTAAAGGAAAATGAAAAGTTTATAAAGGAAAACAAAATCTCCCAGAAGAGAAGCACCCTACTATACGTGTTCCCTCTTCAAGAGTATTGTTACATTTCCTTTAAATCAGAAAATTAAGACTAAATTGTTCATTACATGTTGTATTAAATTGTTATTAGTGCTAATTTTTACAAGAATTGAAGCAATAATACGTAGACGTCATTGGTCGGTTGTTAAAGAAAAACTAATGAAAATTAGCAATTGCTCAGTTGTGCTTTAAGCAGACACCAATCTGAAGCAGTGACTGTTGTGGCATTCAATCTTGAGGCAATCAAAATTACGTAAATACAACGCCCTAATTTTAAAGTGTATTTTAGT